AGCAGATCGTTGGTTTAAGTGTTTTTACTTATGCTTCTTTGGARTTATAATTACGTGGACRGAAAAATAATAATATTTTGTTGCTAAATCATTGATCGRCAGATGTTCGTYTCYTTCATGTGTGGAGTTTCCTGTGTCGAGAGGGAATCGGTTTAGCAGCGATGAATAATATTATCACTGGCAAGTATCTGTGAATATTTTGGCCGATAACATCTCCGAATACTTTTCAAGTAAGTCACTAAACTTTCTAATAAAAGATTCTTAAAATAAGAAAAACGATTTTAACAATTGGAAAAAAAATATGTGAATCACATGTGTAATCCATGTTTATTGCTTAGTCACAATATTGTGTTTCTTTGATTTAATCTGTTTTATTGGATTTGACTTGTGACTCTTTAACGAGTTTATTATTCGATTTAATTTCAACAATGAAATATCTGCTTATTAATTAATTAAGATTTGTTTTTAACCTGCACATGTTTGCTTAATGCTTGCATTAGATCGAATATGTCTCACCAATCATGCTTGCATTAGATCAAGACATATTGATTACTTCACGGTTTATCCTCACTTTGGTTTGAATTGGTTTGGTAAATTGTTGGTTTTTTTTAATTAAGAAAATTGTGTGAATAGTGAATTGATCGGCTAAGCATTAGCAATTTGAGATGTTTTAACTTTTGGTGGCATGAATGTTTCATTGAATTAATTATAAATTGATTATTTATAAATCGAATCATGCATTATTATAAACCGACACATGTATAATGTAACATGTATTTCTAATTGTTCGGTTTGATGATCATAATAACTTGATGAGATAGGTGGTATCTCGTATTTAGCATGATAGTGTAAACAATAACCATGTTGGTTACCAAACATAAAATTTGGAGAGGTTGTTAATAGAAACCATATATTTCTATTATTCGATGGTTGGTACAAAGTTATTTTTATAAAATTCATGAATCACTCCTGTTGGCTCTTGTCCATTCTTTGAAGTGAATGTGTCATCTTATATGAAATAAAAAGAGGATCACACTAATAACACTAAACCAAAGAAACGTCTATAAAAGTTGTCTTGAGTGGTCAAGACCAAGATGTTTCTTGGTATAAATTAAATTCTCACTAGAAGTGTGAAAAGAAAATAGTAAGAAGTTGATCA